ACTTTGGGCTGCTTTTTCAGTCACACTGAATACCCACTACATCAGCTGACATCAGTGGAAGATACAGATTCTCAGGAGCTGTGAGGTCACTTTTCAAAATGTGACACTAAGGGCATGTCTACACCAGGAAATTATTTCAAAATAACACCTGAGATAATTATTTTGAAATAGCATATCCATGCCACAGGGAAGCCTCAAAATTAGTCTGAGTCAGGCTCCCTGAATGTGGATGCACTACCTCTACTTAGAGCCCCAGGAAGCACTGGGGAGTAATTACTTCCAATGACTTTGGGAAGTAGTTATTTCAGAATAGCAGTGGAGCATCCATACTACCGCTATTTCGAAATAAGCATTATTCCTCGTGGAAAGCAGGAGTTGTTATTTCAAAATAACCAGCCCCTTATTTCAAAATAATGAACTTGGTAGCGTGGCCACTCCTGTCCTCTGTTATTTCAAAATAAAGGGAGTTATTTTGAAATAATTCTCTAGTGTAGACCAGGGCTAAGCAACTTATTCATTTACAAGTTTTTTGGTTAGTCCTTATCAGCAAAGGAAAGAAAACCCTTCATAAGGGGTAAGCCAAACTAACTTTCTACAGACATCATTTTATCATGCTTTTTTAAAGTCATAATTCAAAGTTGATCTGAATCTCATTATGGGTGAAATTTGGACCTGGATTCTAATCTGAAAATTCCAGCTCAGGCTATGATGAGAGTAGTGCAGTATTTGTTGATAGTTCCAATAAATGTAAAAAAAAACCCAAAACATGTTGCTGAAAAATTAATTCACAATTATTTGTATACATGAATATTTGTGGCATCACTTCACTCCATTATAAGCCAAAGAGAAGAGGATGGTTACACACAGATGAGTGATTCCCACATTAAATACAGATACATTCTTTTCTCAAAAAGCAACATTTCACAGTAGAGAAATTATATTGACATGAGAAAAGGATCACAGTAACTGTAGCAGAATTTAGGAAAGTTTGAGGCATTTGGGGGAAAAAAACCTCTACATAAATAAAACTACCAGGGCCAGCTAAATTGGGACAAAAAATACATTGATTTGGTATTTATTTTATTTTATTTTATTTAATAAATTTAATGGTAGCGTCTAGTGCCTCTGAGACTGGGGCCCCATTGTGCAACATGCCATACAAATAATAGGATATAGTCTCTGTCCCACAGAGATTACAATCTAGACAAAGACAAGAGAGACAAAGGAAGGACTATTATGCTCATTTACTGAGGGGGACACAAAGAATTCAAATGAGTTGCCCAAGAGGACAAGCAGAGCTGAGAACTAGACCAACAATTCCTGACTCCTGCTTCATGCCTAACCATGAGACCATCCGACCTCAGCCTATGACCAGTACAGGCAGTCCCCGGGTTACGTACAAGATAGGGACTGTAGGTTTGTTCTTAAGTTGAATTTGTATGTAAGTCGGAACTGGTACATATTGTAGGGGAAACTCTAGCCAAACATTTCTCCAGAGCTCAGTTTTATTCTCCCACACCTCACTTCCCTCAGGGTATTATTCTCAAACTGAGGTGTCTGCTGAGAAAAGCTGCTCCGCATCTCCCTGGTCTGCTGGGGG